CTCTCTCTCTCTCTCTCTCTCTCTCATGATATACAATATAAATTTATTTATCGCACCCAATGTTTAGTAACATTTATTACAGATATTTATGGCTTTGATTTGTTGTCTTAAACCTATATTTATCGTATAATTTGTTAAGAATTGTATTTTTTAAATGTATTGATTGTTTTGTTTTTTAAATACATAATTATAAACCAATTTTTTCAAATTTAGTTTTATCTGATTTTTTATTACTGGGATAAATGAAAGCGATTGGTTTTTAGACAAAATGTGTTTTACATAGTATTGAAATGATATCTATCAATATATTTATCATTTACAATGTAGAGAGTTATTATAATTACATTTTATGGATAGATTTAATATGATACAAATATTTGTTAAAATATCAATTAACTGTAGATAAAAACACTTGTCATAAAGTATGCCATTTCACTACAATTACATCCATTATGCCATAAAATATAAATATTAACACAATTCTCGATTATTACTATAGTTTTCAATATATATTTTAAAGTTAATTAAATTTTATAAATTGTGATATAATTTTAATACAATGTTTGATATGATTGACACTAAAATTTGTAAACATTTAAAATTACTTTAATATAAATTAAAAATAAAGTTTGTATTATAATCTATTATTAGCTTAATAAACATCATAAGTATATTAAGTAATTATAAAATTAACATTTTTATTAAATTAATATTTTTTGACATGATATTTCTATTTTTATATATAATTAAATATATGGTAAATATAGTTAATATATATTTAAACAAATCCGGAATTCATTTATGCATTTAATGTCAAATGTCTTCAAAATAAAATTTTAAACACAATAATACGTGATATTGTTATGCATTAATGAATACATAATTAGCGAAACATTTTGTACTGAAAGTTAAAACATTTAATAAAAAATATTTATTATATTTTGCAGAGAAAGTTATTTACTTAGTTTTTAAAATAATTAATATTGCACAAAATAATTTGTAAATTTGTATTATAATAAGATAGTGTTTTGTTTTATATAATTGTTTATTATTATTATTAGTTAAATTAATAATGAATGAGCTATATCGATAAAATATACAATAATTATTGTATTTATTTAGGAAAATAATTAGATTTAAGTTACATTTAATTGCACACACAAATTAATCTCGTTCAATTTCACAAATTAAACTCATAAAAATTTTATAAATAAATATAGACTACATTTGTATAATATATTATATTAAATGTTGTATAAATTAGTTACAGTATACGGCTATTAGTAGTAATGATTAGTGAACTGTCGCTTACAGTTCTGTACACTATAGACATGATATATGGGTGACAAATGTCGACAAATTTTTGGTTCATTATAGCAATGATGACCACATTTACTGCAATATATTTAAACATTTATTTCTAAATTCCTTGACTTTACAGAAATAAATGAGTGAAAAAATTGTATTGTATTTCAGAAATAACTGTTGTTTTACAGCTCAAAGTGATTGTCGTCAACACAAATGTAATAGTTTTTCAGCGAAACGCATGAATTGGTAGATATTTTTATGATATTTTGTCTCACTATTTATGGTTTACTGATTACTCGTATTCAGTAATCATCCAAATATAGTAATCGATATTTTATTTAACAATTAACTCATTTATTTTGCGAAGAAATTAATTTTTTAAATATGAAACTGAAAATTGAGTTTTGGTTTTAGTTGTTTTTAATTGAAAGTTAACTATAGTTTATAAACATAATGTATTTATATATTTTCTAAATTACATTATGGCTTATTTAAGCGCAAAAATAGACTTAGTTTTACCATTTTGTAAATTACATTAAATTAAGTAACCAGAAAAGTTAAATCAATTATAAAATATTTATTCTTTAATATTTGTGCATAAAAAATAATGTATTTATATAGAAATTAATATTTTTATAATTAAGTGCATAACAATTATTAATAGAGATATTCTCTTATTAGTAATACAGTATTAAAATAAAATTTAAAATAATGTAAATTTAAAAAATTCACAATTTAAATAATACCCAAAACATATAAAAACCAAATAATAAACATTTCGCTACAAATAATCTAAAAGTAATAAAATTTTACAAACAATTAAAAACTGAATTATAATTGAAAGCCGGAGAGGAATGTAATTTAAACATTGGGATCAACTCTTATCATAATCTTCACGCCTTCGCCTTTAAAGGCTGTGTTAAATGCGTCCAATGTTTGTTCAAATGTAAATCTATGTGATATCAATGGCTTCAGATCTACTTTACCAGAGCTTACCAATGATATGGACAGCGGAAAGCTATTCAACAAAATAGAAAACAATTAACATATTATTAATAACAAAATCTAATTATAAAATACAGACAATTAAATCAAAGAATAAAACAATTGATAAAATATACAAAACAAATGAATTACCAGTTTCTATATCGAAAAGAGCCGAGAATATTGACTTCACGGATGGCGGCGTCGGCGATGGGAAGGCTCACATTTTGTGGCCCGTGACCCACCAGTAGTGCTGTCCCGCCCTGTCTGGTGGCCAAAAGGGCCAGTCGTGTACTCGACGGCGCGCCACTGCATTCAATCGTTATGTCCGGCATCTGACCCAACGTCTCGGTTATCTCTTTTACCAGTTTTGTCTCTTCAGTGTCTTTAGTGATGAGCACTGTGTGGTCGGCGCCCACCGATTGGGCCAACTTTAGACGCTTTTCATTGATATCTTATAAAAAAGTAAAATTATTTCACTATTATTTTAATAAACATATAATAAATGCGAATAATTACCGGTAACAATGACTTGGTCGGCTCCCAGAGCTTTGGCCACCATAATGTTGAACAGCCCAATAGGTCCGGCGCCTGTGATCAACACCGTTTTGCCAACTGTCACCTGAGCTCTCCTACACGCGTATACGGCGACCGTTAGGGGCTCTATCATAGCTCCCTCTTCGTCGCTCATATTGTCCGGAACTCTACAAACATTTATTGAACAATTTGACTTTATTTGCAACAAACATGTTAAATGTTAGTAATGAACATACTTGAAGGTATAGTCGGCCGGGTGTATAAAGTACTGGGTAAGTGTGCCCGAATGAGGTGGTGTGGCGTGACACGAGATGTTTGTGCACAAGTTGTAAAAGCCCTCTTTGCATGTCGAGCATATACGACAGGGCACAGCCGGTTCGGTGCACACCCGGTCGCCCACTTTAAAGCCCGTCACTCCCGGACCCACACCAACCACTTCGGCACAGGTCTCGTGTCCTAATATGATTGGCTCATCCAATATAAAGTTGCCGATCGACCCGTGTTTCCAATAGTGGACATCTGATCCACAAATGCCCACACATTTGGTCCGAAGCAAAACCTCTGCAGATTATAAAATTCATTTAATGTATTTTATATTATAACATGTTAAAATATAAAGCATACATTTGCACTATGGTAAAATTGTTTTAATTATTAAATTTTTTAAAGCATTTACATTAGGAAACAATTTGTAAAATATTATTAATTAAATAAAAGTTAAATATTATACGATATTAATAATAACAACTACATTATACTGTACTGTATATAATATAACGTTAGTACAGTATATTGAAATGTACAGTGCATATGTTTATAATAAAACTGGGCTCCGGAATCCGGACTATAAGGAAAGAGTAGTTTTTGTGTTAATTTATTATACAATATATATTAAGGTTCTACATAATTTTGCACATTGTATAAAACCTAAATTATTAATATGAAGTCTATAAAATAATAAATTCATTTATTGTCAAAAAAATAATATAAAGAATCAAAAACTTTAACTATCAAAAATGTAATAGGGTTAATATCATTTATTATAAATGAATCGCAGTAATTAACATTCAAATAAAATTTAATACTATTAAATATACCTAAATAGAAGTTGCTCTTATAAAAATATGAAAGTCATTTATAAAAATTAATGTATTTATAAGGAAATAACATTAATTGTTAATTAGTTATAAATTAACATGTAATATAACTATAACATTTGACGTTGTGAATTTTTAAAAGAAATTGTTATTTAAAATAAAAGACTAATAATACCAGATATTAAATAATGTATAAATAAGTAATGGATAATGCTAACTAAAATTAACATTAATTCATCAATTAATAAGATTTGTATTAAAATATGATAAACAATACCGTTATGTTGAGGGCTGGGAGGCATTGGCCACTCTTCTAGTCTCATATCATCCACTTTGTGGAGAACCGCCGATATATTGCTAACAGTCTTCGCCGACATTTCTTCTGGAATTGGAGTTTAATTAATAAAAATGTAATAAATATATAAAAATTAATACATTTATTTGAGTGCCAAAAATCATTGCCGTATCAAATGAAAGGACAGCTACTTATATACCAGTCGTGAAACACTTATTTAATAAAGATTTTATGCAAGAATTAGGAATTTATTTGCGACAGAATTTTTTATATGTTTGCTATCATACTATCTAATCGTTATTCATGTGATTCCTAATTGTGATCAAAATTCAATTGATAAGAGAGTGAGAGTCAGTGCGAGTCAGTGAGAGTTAGTGATAGAGAGAGAGAGAGAGAGAGAGAGAGTCATTGGATTTGCCGGTAAGAAGTGTGGTATCCTTGGCTTTAGAGGGTATGTTTATCCTTCATATCGACTCGTATTTTAGTTTACTTTGAAAAAACAACACGTATTGCGTATACGTAGACAATATTTCAATCATTATATAATTACTAATTTCTATTACTTTTTTCAATAGACTTACTGTTTTAAATGTTTGATAATTTTCGCACAAATCACAAGATAACTATTAAATGCAATTATAATTTACAATAATTTGTGCACAATCTTATGTGTTGCTATTTATCGGTATTAATACACAATTATTGACAAACAACAGAGTAATCACTGATATCGCCACTTATATACTGTATGTAAGAGTAATTTAGGAAAAATTTAATCAAATCATTACTAAAACTGATTAAAATTGTATTTAAAAATTGAGTTTTAATATCAAATTATACCGAGTGTGACGACAAACACATGTACATATGTATATATGAATGACTAAATGACATGCATTAACAGTGTATTAATTAGTAATTAGTACTCATTTCGCAACAAAAAATTCGCAAATAAAATGCTTTATTTTTAAATTTGATTTATTTTTGATAAAAGTATTTTTCAACAAATCTATGAATTTCACAAAAATAACACATTTGTCAAAATGATACTGATTTCACATCTTTAAGCCCAAAGTCATTGGGATATTAATTATAAAAACTTAAGATTTTTGTGGAAAATTTTCATTTAATTAATGTAAAGGTTTTTGGTATAGTAAGCGTATACTAATACGTTAATTGTGAGCCAACCCGTGAACCGATTTGGATGAAATCAACTGCATTTTAAAGATAACATTAGGGACATTTATGTACACCATAGGCAATGTGGCCGACCTTTATGAGAATTATAAATTTAAATAATATTAAAATATTATTAATATGCACGTAGTTCTTGATTGGATCATTAAATTTTAGTAATAATTTCACTAATTTAAATGAAGTCAATATTGGTTTAATATTTTAGGGCTATTTTTTAAATAAATATATTTTTTGAGTATTAAAACTAGGCTTAATTGTAGTTTTAAAAATATTTTTATAAAAATAATGTAACGCTAACTGTACATAGTATTTTAATAACATATATAATAACTTATTATTAATAAGTGTAATTATTATAGTAAAATTAATAACATTATTGTCTAACACATTGCAAAATCTAATTTTTAATTCAATACTATACTAATTATAAATCATTGATAAAATTATGCCATTATTTTAAACATTAAGACAATTCATTAACAATATTTCAAAATTAATCAAATTCCACATTTCAACAATTTACACGCAAATTAAATAAACTAAATATATTTCAAAAAATATCAAAATATTTTAGGCAAAAAGAAATTACTGTATTCATAAAATGTTATTTTTACATAATATTAGATAAATGTTATGCATATCTTTGACTATGTTTTCAGTTATCAATTCTGATGGAAAGAAAAAATAGTTTTTAGTATTATTTCCCACATATTTTATAAATACCGCTGCCTTTGAAATATGTTCACAAAAAACGTTTGTTCAGAAATTTAAACGCATCCACAATAATGTCTTAGAAAATATATGGTATAACCAAGATGGTCATTACATAATTATCATTATGCTAAAATATGCCGTTTTTAAAATAAAATTAATATTCATTATCAGAATACAGCATAGCTTTCCATACAGAATAATAATTGTAATTCAAATTAAAAGTTTTGGTAAAATTATTATTTCATTACTTAGTTACATCATGAAATTCATTATGGTTATCCCGGGAATAACAAAGCATAGAGTCATTGATTTTTATAGTATTTCAATGTAAAGCAAATTGTTTTATTGCCGCAAATATACAGTGAACTGACTCACAAAAAAGTCTGGCTCTTCTCCAGATCTACTCTTAATATAATAAGTTTAACAATTTATTCACATATTAAGACTCATCCGTCTCCTACATCTCTCTCTCTCTCTCTCTCTCTCTCTCTCTCTCTC